TATTTGTTGAAATAATAAATTTACCACAAATTGAAAATAGCACAATTAATTTGGCCCACAATTTGATGCCCAGCTATAGTATATCGCAGTTAACATCAATGGTTAACATTTCAAAAAATATTTTATCAAGTTTAATAAAACCCGTTGACACTCTTAAAGCACCTAACACAATTTGGGCTGCGCTGATAAATACCACGATCATTGACAATATTACTGAATATATAGCACCAAAATTACTACCAAGCTTCCTACCACAATCGGATTTATATTTTATCAAGAACTTGGTTAAAATGATTACATTTAATAATAATGTAGCAAACAATACAGTAGGCACTTTATTAACTAATGATATTTTGAATGAATTAATAATATGGCCAAGAACAAATGAAGCAATCATTTATATCATTAATAAATTATTACCAAACATATTTAAATCTGAAGACCAAATAGTAATCGTAATAAAAATAGTTTACATTACAATAGGCAATTTACGAAATGACCCAATTGTAATAACACAGACAAAACAATTAATTATTGATACAATTAATTCTACACTGGCTGACCAAGTAACAAATTATATTTTGCTAAAAATAGCACCATGGTTTGATGAACGTGGTCTATCACTAATAAACAACGCGATTAAGTCAATTACTATATACAATATACAGGGCTGGACGTACAGCGAAATTGTCCAACATACACTCTACCGTATAATTTACCACGATCAGTTTGACAGACAAATCCACTGGGCTACAACATTAATTGAACCAAGTTTAAAGTTTGAGCATTCACAAATGATTGCAATTATTTTACGCACGTCTATATCGCTGGCTATTAATGTAACACAAACTGATAAATTAATTGCAAATTTTGTCATTGATTTGCTAAATAGCACATCGTTTGACGTAAATGTAAATTATTTAGCTATAAAATTATTACCATGGGCAAATACTGATTATATTAGTTTAATAATAAAAGTTTTAAAATCAGCCCAGATGCAATATATCACTGACATTAACGTCGTCCATTTAATTAGTAACACAATCTTAACAATACTAAACAGTACACAGTTTACAAACTATTTACAGTCTACAGTTGTAAAAATTGTACCAGGCACAAACACCACAGATAGTGTACTACTGTCAGATTTACTAAAAATAATCGTAATGAATTACACGCACAACATCAGCATTACCACGATCATCAAAACAGTATCAATAAAATTGATCTTGAGCAATCAATTTGAGCGTATGCTGCACTTGATAGTCATAAAACTCGTACCAGGATCACGACCAGACGATATTAATCTAGTTGCTAAACTAACTCAATCAGCTGGCATAATGTATACAAACGGCACAAATACCACCACGATCGTTCAACATACAATATTGCACTTTGTTAATAGCCACCAATTCTACAAGCTCATTGTTACCGTAAGCATAACATGGGCACCTAGCTCGGACTCAAACGATTTGACTGTGGCCACCGATATAGCTAGATCACTTATTATAGACGTAACTAATGGGGCTAATTCAAGCGTAATCATAAAACATGTAATAATTAAACTAGGTGATAGTACCCTATTTGAGCCTGATGTTAAAATTGTCACCACCACAACACCTATGCCTACAATAAATACAAACACGACCAAGGTGGATGGTGTAATGGCAAAATACAGCCAGGTAAATCGGAGGGCAATAAGCGCGCTTAAACGATCAATGGAAAACGTTATAAATAGCACTAGGTCAAGCATGGATAAATTTATTACCGGGCTAAAACGCCGATTTCAATCGAGATTGTTTCTACGCAATCAAACCTTAGGACTCGGTGCGAGTCAATTGACTACAGGTGAAATGATTAAACGCCTGGTAATTAAATTTGTACGTAGCGCTAAATTTGAGCATGTTACCCGGACACTGACTACTAGGTTAATGCCCGGCGCCAACCATACAACAATTGATTTGGTAACTACCATGGTGGTTTCAGGCGGTGTTACCTATGTCAATGGGTCGGGCGTTGGCCAAGTGGCCAGGCATTTGACCATGTTGTTTATGAATAGCACACACGCTAATAACTCATTTACCTCAATGATTTCACAACTCATACCGACAGCCCCTACACATGACAAGGAGCTGGCGCTAGATGTGACCAAGATTATTATAATTGACATAGCCATGGATACGCCTGTTGGCAATATGACCAAGCACCTGTCGTTGAAAATTATTACAAGCCACAGATTTACAATAACAACAAGGTTGTTTATTAGAAAAATAATGCTCGGTATTGACCCGGATGATAATATGCTAGGTGCTAGTTTAATACAATCAGCCGGTGCGCTATTGGTAAATGGTACAAGTACAAATGCAATTATGGCCAATTTAACTCTAACCTACATGAATAGCACGCATTCAAACAACACTGTGCGGGCTGTTATAAACCGATTACTACCAGGGTCAAGTGAGCAGAATTTAAACCTAACCACCAGCATAGTGAAACAATTTATCACAGACTATGCAAATGGTACCCGAGCAACCACCCTGGTGAATCAGCTGCTGAACAAGTTTATCAATAGTACAAAGTTTGACGAGTTTTCCAACAATGTTGTTAATAAATTAAGGCCAGATTTAGACCCTGATAATACTGTTCTAGTAAATAGGCTTGTTAAATGTGCCGGCTTAATGTATACGAACGGGACTAATGGCACACACATTTTTAAGCAATTGATCCTGGTGTATATGAATAGTACCGAGTCTGATTATAATATCCGGGTAACTGTTGCCAGGTTTATACCCGATAACGACCCTGGTGGTTTGGACGTGGTGGGAAATATTACCAAGACATTTATCACGGACTATATACGCGGCCAAAACACTAGCTATTTATTGACGCAAATGTCCGTAACGTATATTAATAGCGATAAATATTATCGAGATTTACAAGTGGTCACTCATATAATACTTCCCAGGGCTGATCAAAACACACATGATGCTATTGGTGATGTTATGAAACAAGCTGGCTTAATGTTTGTAAACGGGTCTAATTATGGTCAAATTAGACGATTTATCATGCTAAAAGTTATTGCTAGTCAAGGGTTTGATGATTACGCTAATAGATATACCAAGAAGTTTATGCCGGGCGCTAATCAGACAGAAGTGGCCAGGGTGATTGATTTGGTCAAAACAACCGTGCTGCTTTATAGTAATGATACTAGCATTTACCGAATATACCGTCATGTATGGCCTAAATTGTCCAAAACTAAACAGCTTGATCAATCATTAAACTATGCAACTACTAGAGTAGCACCAAGATCGTTGAAACCAGATGATGTTGGTTTTTTAACGAGCATGGTTAAATATGCTGGTCAATTGTATGCCAACGGCACAAATAGTTTAATCGTGATGAAAAATGTGTTTAAACAGTTTTTAAATAGTACTAGATCGGATTATTTGCTCAGAAACATCATGGTTAATAATTTTAAAAGTGTAAATCCGCGTGATGTTAATGATACAATTGCAAACATTAAGCTGGTTTCAACCCAGTGGCTAAGTAATACAAGTTCAGTAATAATGCTAAAACAACTTGCTAACAAACTGTTAAATACTACTAAATCTGATCAAATTATAAACAGTATAGTTAGAAAATTTGTTCCTGGGTCGAAGAATTCGTCACATGTTACTACTATGAAATCAAGCATTAAACAATTTTTGCATGCTGATAATACTACTAATAATAATGGCAGCATGGTCATTAGACAACTATTTGGTCAATTTTTAAATACTAATAAGTCAACTGAAATATTTAAAATGATGGCGATAAAATTATTGCCCGGTACAAATACCAGCCAAGTGGCTCAGGCAATTAAAAGTACCACGCAACAATACGCAAATGGCTCAATGAGCTCTTTTGACCTTGTTAAACATTTATTTTCTGGTTTAATTCAGGCCACAAATGTGACCACGGTAATGAATTATTTAACTAGCATGTTTGCGACAAATAAATATAAACCTGGTGATTTGTCTAAAAAACTGTGGCAGTCATTTGGAACAAATTCAACGTCTCTGACAAATGCTACATTTATTGACAAGGGCAATCTTAAAAGTAATAATAGTATTGCGCTGTCATCAAGTAGCTTTTACAATAAATTAAAGTTTAATTCTACCAATAATTTATTTGGCATGATAAATAAAACTAGCCCAGCAAATACAACTGTAAATAATAACGTATAATACTTATTATTGTAAACTTAATAAAATAATATATATATTTGGGAATCATCCAAACGTCGTTTATCAATAAAAGTTATCTGTTTTTTTAATATTATGTAAATAATTTTTCAAAAATAATTATACAATTAAATTTTAAAATAAAATTTTATGTATTCTTGAAATTAAGTTTGCTATTTATTTTAAAAACTTGAACAAATATTATTTTAAATATTGTGCATATCTTATTAGACGTAATTTAAAAATTGATTAACTATAAATTAAAGTTATAAAATTAATTTATGATAAATGCCACATTTATAAGGATGAGTAAACTTAAAAATAACAATAATAGTACGCTTTTTAGTAACACATTGTCATCAAGTAGCTTTACGATTTTAAATTTAATAATACCGTTAATTTATTTAGCTTGATAAATAAAACTAAACCAACACATGCAACTGTAAATAATTAAAATATAATAATTATTGTGTTAAGTACTATATATTATTTATTGGCTATTAATTGATTTAATAGTTTATTGTATTTTTAATATGTTGTGTAAATAAATTTTTAATGTTAATTATATAGTTAAATTAAAAATAAAATTTTGTATATTCTTTAAAATTATTTTTGAGATTTACTTTATTATATTCAATATGTAAAAATATTAAATAAAAACTATGATTCTCTCATAGGAACTAATTTATAAATTTTTAATTTATAATTTATAATAATTTAATTAATAATAAGTATTTAATTAAAAACTTAAACAATATGGCCACGATCTGTGTTTATGTTTAATTACACACACCATATAAAATGCACAAATTGTTTTTGTAATTACTTTTACAAACAACAACATTACAAAAATGTCCAGTATGTTAATCAAAATTATTCAAAACATTTCATCTAGCTCCATAAGCTATCAAACAATTTACATATTATATTTATTAGATAATCTAACATGTTTCTCTCTCACAGTTCATGAGCTACTGGTAATAATATTGGCAATTATTACCACAACTAACATGGTCATTTACGTCCGGTGCAGCAAGGATGATTGTACATATTATATTTATTAGATAATCTAACATGTTTCTCTCTCACAGTTCATGAGCTACTGGTAATAATATTGGCAATTATTACCACAACTAACATGGTCATTTACGTCCGGTGCAGCAAGGATGATTGCCAGGACGTGCACCGCATACCGGGTACGGCCAATTATAGACCAAAATGTGCGCCAAGTATGTGTTCATCTAGTTATTATTATAACATATTTATTTATTGTACATGTATTTTATTAATCACATTAATAATAACAATATTATTACTATCTATTAAACTCTATCACAATTAGTACTAATTTATGTAACATTTAAAATTATTTACATAGATTACTATAATTAGTAAATATACATACATCAATTAAAAAAAACTATACATGATAATTTAATAATTATACCTTGTTTAGAGGGCACAAAATCGCCCGACAAAGCGACCACGATCGACAGGGAGGAGGACATGATACTGCAGGCCATATCGGCGCCCGACGACCACCAGGCGCTGCCCAATTCAAGCGAAATAGCTAAGGCCATGAACGAGGACCATGGTACTGACCATGAGTTGGTCACCACCACCAATGTCACCACCACCACGCCCAAGGGTGGTTTATTGAAAAAGCTGAAACGGGCCAAGGAGAAACGGGCCGGCCAAGTGACCACCATGAAAGATTTAGTGGCCGACGTGAAAGGGCTGCTCAAGGACAGTCGC